AATATTGAAATTTTCTACCTTAGAAATATTAAAATTATTCTTTCAATATTGAAATTTTCTACCTTAGAAATTTGGAAATTTTCTAACTTAGAAATACTGAAATTTTCTCACTTAGAAATACTGAAATTTTCTCACTTAGAAATATTGAAATTTTCTACCTTAGAAATATTAAAATTATTCTTTCAATATTGAAATTTTCTACCTTAGAAATATGGAAATTTTCTAAGTTGAAAATGTTCTTTTTTTTATTTAAATAGCCACAGAATTTACTGAAAAACTGGAAAGCTGAAACACCCAGGATCGAAGAGAAATAAATCGTGAAGGAAACAAATAAAAGATACCATGCAGATGTATGTTGAGAGACTGTGCCGTTAGGGGATTGATGTGCACCGACGATATATTGTTCGAATGCTGATGTGGCTGCTGTTTTTTCTTCCCGAAACCCTCCAGGAACTCCATCCCTTGCAAAGAGTACAGCTCTGCGTGAACACAAAACGAAAAGGAACTGAATATAAAAACAAACAAACAAAAGCCAACCGCAGAAACCTCGACGACTAAATAAATTTACAACAAAATCAAGAGTAGAAATAAAAAAAAACAAACAGGTGTTAACTTCTGTGAATATACACGTGTACCATCGTTAAGCAATGTACAGTGATAGACTAACTGTTTGCATAATGCAAACAAGAACAAATAGAAATCTTTTTGCAACCTGTTTCCAAAAGGTTTTTACAACATCTTCGTGCAAAATGAAACAAACAGAGCGTAAATGAAGGAAAAAGAAAGAAAAAAGCAAATTCTCGTTGTTTTTCTCAATCGTCGCGCAATTTTCCTTTAATTAAAACGTCTTCCGGGAATACTATGCTTCCTCGCGATGTCAATTAGCGTGTTAAGAAGAGAAAAGAAATGAGGTGAGCACTGAAAATTGCTTTATAAATTCATCCCTCGCAATTCTACTCCTCCAAACTGTATCATATACGAAAAAAAAGATTAGAATCAATCCATCAGTAATAAAAATAATAGAAATAATCTGATTCATCCTGTAGATATCCTTTTCACGTTAAAGAAGCTCTCTCAAAGCTTATCTAAAATCTCTGCCTAATATCAATAGCATAAAAACTTCCTCTATTACTTCCTCCATTATCCTATTACACAAATGAAAGATTCTAATCACGCTCCCCAAAATCGCTTCCGCCGAGATAAAGTGTCTCCCGATAAAATTTAATAAAAACATATTCCACGAAGAATTTCTCTTTCGTCGAACGTCTCTCGCTGGGATTAAAGCGACAGAAAATCGTATAAAATAAAATTTCAAAACCATCGGTGTATAAATTATAGTAGAACAATTAAAAATCTCACGGCTCGTACTTGATCCGTAAACGCTCGTAACGAGAACCCCGTCCTGCCCGATGGACTCTTGGTCCCTCGAATCTTTCATCGATTTCTTCCTCCCGACCGACACTTTGCTACGGAAGCTTCCGCCCCGGGCGTTCGTCCAAAAGTTCGCGATATTATCCACGGTCCTGATCCTGCAGGACTTTGACGAGCAAACCGAAGTTTTCCTAATTTTCTCCAACGACTTACGCCCCTTCGTACCGCTCTGGTCGTCCCCTGCACGATTATCCTGGCAATCCAACCCGTCCTCGACGTTCAACTCCAAATTCGTCGCGACCACTTCGTCCTGCAGGACCACGTCGTTCACCGACAAACTCCTCGCCTTGTTCCCAGTGAACAACGGACGACAATCGTTTCTATTGCACTGGAAATCCCCCTGTTTCCTGCTTCCACCCCGAGAATCCACTATCACAGTCAAATCAGTGTCCTGGCAGGACTTGTAGGACAACTCGTGGTTGCTCTGGATCTCGTTCGAGCCGTGATCCGAGTGTTCCAACGGCTCGAAGAGAAAACTAGAGACGGAAGAATCCAAGGAAGTGTCCAGAGAGAAAGTGGGATTCTCGTAGGACAGGTGAACTGTGGGATAAAGGACGTCTTTTCTCTCGATACTCGATACAGAGGACGTTTCCTCGTTGCTTTTCCAACGAAATATACGCGGTACTCTAGGCGACGTAGCTTCGTTGCTTCTCGCAGAAGGTTTCTCTTGATCCTTGCGAGTTTTGCCCATTATCCTGTCGGTTAAGCACAGCTTGTTCTTCAGATCCTTGCTGATCTCTCGAGGTTCCGTATCGCTCGAGGAGAGAGAATTTTTATTAGGGCTATCAGGTGGTTTATCGTCGATCCTCGAAGGATCGTCATTGGTGTTCTGCACGATAGAGGCTGGACCGGAGGATTCTTCGACCAGGCGAAGCTTGTTGCCTTTCTTCTTTTGCTCGTGAGGTGGTACGGGCGACAAGTCGAAGCCAGCGTTCAAACGCAGATTCGCGTGCGTGCGTAGCTTCGACATGAGCTTCATGGACGCGCGAAAGGATCTCGACCTTTTCAGGCTCGACATCCTGTCGTTCGACGACCGCCTCGAGAGCAATTCCATTTTCGGGCTGGACCTCGACGATTTGCGAAATTTCATCTGGAGAATGAATCCTGCGACGTGTTCGATACTTCTTTGATTTCTTCTGCGACACTTTTAGGCGAATCACGATTTCTTCACGTGCTACGTAGTACAATTTTAATTTACTATCGCACAATTTGGATGTTTGAAAAATGATTTGAAAAATACCGTATTGCGTTCTGTTACAATGTACAATTATATATTATTCTTGAGTTTCTTTGGCTAACGGAAGACTTCGGACACTCTTCTTCTTCAGGCACTCGTTTGGTTCGGTAAAGCTGGAAAATGTCGGACCGTTTCTTTCAGAACAATTATAACGCCGACGAATTAACACTCGTTCCTTCCAGGGAAAACACGATCAACGTTTTACCAAGATTTCACAGCGGCGAGATAACTCGGATTACATCACAGGAATTAACGGCTGCAAGTACTCTCGATATAGAAGAAATCAATGCACTGGTAAGAAGCAATCACCTAGATTACATCTCAAAAAAAGAGAGAGACCCGTCTCCTGCATAATTCTTCCATCCCTAATTCCATTTCGAACGTAAAGAAAGAACCCTTCCACCTCGAGAGCAGACTAAATCGTTGAATTATTCACCGGTCGTAACGGTCCACCGTGAAATTTCATATTCGAAGGAGAGAATGATTCGGCGAATTTCGAAGATTTACTCGACGGGAAAATGTTTTTTCCAAGGAAAAATTGAAGAATCGAAATAGAGAGAGAGGGAGAGACGTAGTCGCGAGGAACAATAGGTCCGAATTGATGCGTGTCGCGAGAGGGACTGGAGACAGAACGAAACGATTTTATTATTTACTTAGGACACGCACCCGGACAATTCCAGTGCGCCAGCAGCAATTGCCCATTACGAAGAAGTGGCCTGAACGTCGCCTCTTCCTCCTCGAGACGAGCGTGACAATTTGTTAGCCCAATCAAACTTATTGCTGGCGTCCGTGGTTGGCCGTCAGATCGAGCAAGATCGAGGGCGTTGGATCGGGAACGAGCAGAAGATGGGGGTGGAATTACCACTCGATTTGTGTGGATGAAAGCTACGTGGTTAGAGAAGTGTTCTTATTTATGTGAAGGAAGAACCCGTGGTTCCTCGATTGTTTTCCAGAACACCAGCGGTTAGATATTTCTGCTAATTGCGATAGTTAGATAGTAGAAGAATTGGGAGAAGTATTGCAGTCTAATTATTTATGCAACAAAGATATTTGGAAAATTTTCATTTGATACCGGTGAATTTTTGTTTTGAGTATCTTTAGTTTATCCTGTACATGCTCCAAGTCGTCGAACAATTATGTTTTATTAACAGTATAATATTTAAAAATTAAAAGAATTTGGTTCGTATAAATAAAAACTCATTGTAAAATTCTTCAAAGTAAATGAAAATTATTAGAATTTTCCCTGAAAATTGTGGCAACGCACAGTGAAAAATTTGCAAACTTTGTCACAGTCGAGAATATTCTTTAGAACCCCGAAAAAGTGACGGTTCACTTGACTTCCTCGACAACTAAACGAACACTGAAGAAACTACAGACCTTTTCGCGAACGCATCTCGCTACGTGAGACGCTGTGTCCCTCTGATACGCAACTATAAAGGAAAGGGCGTCTGAACGTGGCAACTGGCTCTTCTCCCGGGGAACTTTGACCATAACGCTCCGACAACTTACAGTGGAAACCTGGAATATCAGGACGGAACGGTTCATGAACAAGCATAACGAAGCTCGATAAGAATGTAATAAACCATTTGCATCTCTCACCGTCACAGCGAAAACACGAAATTTCGATCCGTTTCGGAAAATATCAATTAACACCGTGGAAGAATCGATGGATGTACACGTCTGTTATGAACGGTGAAACCTTCTCTATGAATATCAAATAGAAATTTCCTAGCAAATATAACCGCCGCTGTTACGATCGTACGATCGAGGGGGAAGCATTATCAGAAAGCAAAGATATAAACGTATATAATACCGTGAAAAGAAAAAAAGAAAACAAAGTTCGACGGATATGAAAAACGTGGTTGAAACGAGGAGAAACGAGTGTAGATCAAACAATACAAGAGGGAAACGATATTATAAATACATCGAGATGATTAGATAAAACCTGACAGAGGACAGATGGTCGAATTGTCAATTTCGCAGGGGAAAAGTAAATAACGCCGTACAAAATATAAACATTAAACTGCGTAGTTCTAGAGCACACGGTTTAAAAAAAAGAAACGAAAAAAGAACTGCTCTTGAGAACGCGGTTGAATCCTATCCGAAGGAATAAAATCGCTTCTTGCCATACAAATTGGAGTTCATTAGGAGTTAACGAGGTAATTACGTCTCGTCGAAATGATAATGGGATAATTAAAGTCCGTGGTAAGTAAAATCGTTCGGCGGATTGATTCGTCCAAAATCCCTCAGCGTTCGCCGATCAAATTGAAGGAAACAACCGCCGATTATCGACTTTATAATATAGAAGAAGAAGAAGAAAAAGATTAACGTTCGCGAGAAAAGAAGCACTGAAATTCACCTCCGAGTTTTACTACTTTATCGTTCGAGTTAATAACGGTGCTTCGTTTTAATTCGTCGAGAGATTCGACCGCAACAACGAGGAACGAAGGTGAAAAACAATGGAGGACGTGGAGTAGGGAGCTTCGTCTCGTTTTAACGCCCATTCTGCTAATAGCCACTAACGATACTTCCGTTTCCCCTTTTGCTGTCTCACGATTGTTGCCTCGAAACAAGATCCTATCGAAGCCGTTCCGTAGCGAGATTTCTGTCGTACCAGCATCATGATTTCTTCAGCGTAGAGAATGTAATAAGTACTATGGTATCTCTCTTCTTCCTCCATTTTCCTTTTTTCATTCTAAAATTCAATTAATCAGAATTAGAGAGAAAGATCTTTTCTTTTTCAAGATGATAGCTGATCGAATGGAATTCTTCAACCAGAGATATTACTTTCCTCGAGGGGCGAATAAAATTAGAACTTTTACTACTTCCTCCTGTGAGCAACGTTCGAAGAACCTGTTCGCTGCCATTAGGCGAACGGCAACGAAAGTGGATTACATTAGAGAAAATTGTGTTGCATTTTCTTGCCTCCAACGGCAGAGAGAGTGAGCGAGCAAGAGAGATGAATAAATCTAACAGTAGAACGTGCACGTGTTGGTTTCGAATTATAATAACTGTTCATCCTCCGGTGAAAATGATCGACGGAGAGAAGTGTATATTGCTGCTATCGTAGAATCGTCAATTTTTTTGGAGTTTTCCATTCGACTTCATATTCGTAACACCGTCAGAAAATGAAAAAAGCAGAAAATCCATTTTTTCCACCATTTTCAAAAACCTCTCGATAAACTCTGGTTCTCTTTTTTTTTTTAATTGGAGAAAACGTCGACGCCCTGTCAGCGATGCAGAAATCCTGAAAAAAGCGATTCCTGGTTAACGGACCATTTCTATTAAACCGCCGTGCGGCCTGTTAGGTTAGAACACCGAATGACGCTTTTTGTTAAACTGCCATCTGATGGAAATACGGTTTAACGAAGAACGCCTGAACGATTAAACTGTTTCTCCTACCTCTGTCCAATCTTCTCCGATTATCGACTTCATTTTTATGACGTAGCAGCTCTTGTTATTGTATATATCTCTTCGATAAACAACAATCTTACTTCCTCTATGCTGTTGGTGGGAGTTACCGTTTGACGGTGCTGTTAACGTATCGCTCTTCCATGACGAATTAACGCGTCCCCGCTGCGAACCATCGACCGTGGAATTAATGAATCGGTGAGAAGAAAGCTGCCCGAGGAAGCACCAGGTGAGAAGATGATTCTTGATTAATTTTATAGCGGCGAAAATAAGCAGCTTGGGTTAATTAGAAATTCGTGGTGCTACTAGACAACTCGAAAATAATAGTTAGATTATGTTGTTAACGGGAATAGAGTATCGAGGAAATATTGTGAATTTTATCGCAAACGTAGTTTCGTATAGTTGACGAAATTTTTGGGGAAATTTAACGGTAAGAGAAGACGATTTATTAAAACATGAACAATGTACCCTTTTTCAAGCGTTTTCAGTCTTATCGCAGCACTGTCTGCGATAAACTCCAATCTACTTCCTTTCCTGTGTGGAACTACGGTTCTTTGACACTGGCCTACGCCTCTTTCCGCTCGTCAAGTGCCTCGAACTTGCTCGAGCAAGCATGCTCGATGAATTTGAACGAGGTGTTGCAAAATCTCCCTTTCATTTTTCACGCTGGAATTCCTTGTTTGATGGATGGTAATAAAGAGCCATCAATCTTTAAGAGAAACTGAATTTCTGGTGGTGGTAGAGATGTTTCGTCTTGGTCGAAGTCGATGTTTTCACGTGAAAAATATTTCGTGATTATTTAAGCGATTTTTTAAGAATAACGAGATAATATCGAGAAATTCGTGATCGAATTTGATTTATCTGCGAATCGTCGCATCTGTAAGTTTTCTTCGTGTATTCACGCGTGACATATGCGTTCCACTATTCACGAAATGGTTAAGCCACTTTTGAAGAATGACACAAAGCGTTGTTGTCGTCGTCGTAAGCCGCTCAACGAAAAGAAAATATCCTTGAGTGAGGAGAAAAGGAGAAATATTTGTTCCCAGGGAAAGAAAATGCCTGAAACTGGCTAGGAAAACGTCCATGAGCGATCTACTTATGGTTATGCAACCTTCCATGCACGGAGGTTTACCTCGCAAGGACGCACGTGCGTCCGTTCACTACCGTTCAAATACCATCGAGAGCAAGTCGACCGTTCGAATCGAGATAGTGTTCATCGTGTTTTCCGAGAAACCAGAAGGAACTGATCTTGCCTTTGAGAACAGTCATTTCTCTCATTTTCCAATTATTTCTTTCGAATAATCGAATTTCCACTTACGAGAAATTAATATTTTTACGTTTGAAAAATGACGTTTCAATTGAAACGTATTACGCGTAGTCGATCGATATATCGATCGTGCCGTTTCGTTATGGAGGATGTTGAATTTCAGAAAACAGTTGTC